CCCCCTCCACTGTTTCACGGGTGCACTGTCCCTCAGCTGCCCACCTTTACTGCCTCCCTCGCCACTGCCGCTACTGACGTGACCGCAGCTGCTGTTATGACTTATGCGCGGTTTAGGGGTAGGAGTGGTAAGAGGAGCGGCCAGGGTGCGGGTGGCGGCGGAGGCGGCGGAGGTGGCGTGGCGAGCGGCGGTGGCGGGAGTGCAGGAGTTGGAGGAGCGCCTCGTGCAGCGTCTAGTGACTCCCCTGCTGCAGCTGGTGGAGGTGACACTCGGGTTAGTCGGGCACCTGCGGGACTGCCAGCTACAGGTGCTGGAGTGGCGGCTTGGTACCTGACTCAGCGATAGCAGCAGCAGTATCCAATCCTCTCGCAACAGACACAGCATCAGCAGAGGCAGCAGCAGGCTCCGGGGCAGGGGTCAGGACAGCGCGCGCGGTGCCGTCCACCCTCCCTGCACCTATCTCGTCCAGACAGGTACTCGCAGAGGCCTCCACTGTGGCCGCCCCCGCGCCCTGGGTCAGTGCTTTTCTCAGCTCACTAACACTCTTTGCGCGGCCTACGGCGTCGATGGCACTGCCCGTTACTGACTTCCTTTTCTTCACACGTACGGTACAGCCCTGTGGGGCATGTCTGCTTCTCAGTTGCTTGATCTCTTAGGAACTCCTCGTTCTATGTATGCTGTTGTTGACTCTAGTGCTTCTGACTCTGTTTACTCGCGTGTTTTTAGCTTAGGTGCTAGTGTTGACTCTGTGCCAGTTGCTAGTTTAGGTACTTGCTTAGGCACTAGTCCATTTAGTGCTCCGGAAGACACTTCGCTGTCTTTCACCCTTGACTCTGGAGCTTCGCACTGTTCTTCCACGACCACTTGACTCTTGCTCCGCTTCCTACGCCAGCCTCTGTAGCGCTGGCTGATCCCACTTCAAGACCAGTCACTGCTCGCTACACTACTACGCTTCCGTGCCCAGCTGTTCCCTCGGGTTTCCTGACAGGCTTCCATGTCCCCTCGTTCTTTAGGAACTTGGTGGGTGTGAGGCCACTTGTGGGTAGTCACGTGGGTGTTTGGTTTGAGCCTTCTGAGGAGACTGCGACCTGTGTAGACGATGACACGTACGCGCCTCTGGCCACCTTTACTGCTGATCTGGGCTCTGGTCTCTACACATTTCACACTGGCCCCCGAGGGAGCAGCAGCAGCAGCAGCAGCAGCTGCCTCCGACCCCTGTCACTGCCCTCCGTCAAGTCTCCGCGTCTCACCAGGTTACTGGTGTCATTTCACAGCCCTCCGACGGACGTCCCTCGTCCCCCTGTCCCTGTCATTGACTTTCGTACTGTCCTGTTCCGTTCTAGTCCGCCTCGTTCGTCTCCGTCTGTGCTTCCTTCTCCTCCTGAGTCGGCCCTCACTACTGCCCTCTCTACTCCTATCACTCACTACTACCGCACGTATTGTCCTGTTCTCTCTCGTGTTCTCGCCTCTCTTGTTACCGACCCTCGTGCCTCTCTGTCCTCTGTCTCCGCCCTTACTGCCGCAGTCACTGAGTTCGCCACTACTCGCCGCCTTGACTACGCCACTAGTCTTGTGGCTGCTCCTCCTACCAGTCCTCTAGCCGTCGAGGGCAAGTCTGCCCTTGGCTGTGACGCCCTAGAGGACAGGCAGTTTGAGCTAGAGTTCCTGGCAGCCGCTTCCCCTCATCTCTGTGCCATGCTCCTCACCCCTGAGGGTGACCCCGACGCCCTTGACATTCCGACTCCTCGCACTTACGCTGAGGCAGTGTCAGGGCCATGGGCCTCTCAGTGGAAAACTGCCATGGATGCAGAGATGGCCTCCTACAGATCCACAGGCACCTTCGTCGATGAGGTTCCCCCCCCCCCCCCCCCCCCCCCGGGGCGAACGTAGTCGATGGCATGTGGATCTTCAGGGTGAAGCCGCCATCGGGATCTCCAGTCTTCAAGGCGCGCTATGTGGCTAGATGTTTCAGTCAGCATGAGGGAGTTGACTTCTTTCAGACCTTCGCGCCTACCCCGAAGATGACTACTCTTCGGGTGTTACTTCACGTAGCAGCACAGAGAGACTACGAGCTACACGTAGCAGCACAGAGAGACTACGAGTTACACTCTCTTGACTTCTCCACTGCCTTCCTTCAGGGTAGCCTACACGAGGAGGTCTGGTTGCGTCGTCCCTCTGCCTTCACTGGCACTTTCCCTCCTGGGACCTAGTGGAGGCTGAGGCGACCGGTCTACGGTCTCCGTCAGGCGCCTCGTGAGTGGCACGACACCCTTCGCTCTACCCTGTCTGACCTCGGTTTCTAGCTGTCTTCTGCCAACTCGTCCCTATTCGTTCGTCGTGGCTCCACACCGTTCTTTGTACTGGTCTACGTCGACGACCTGGTCTTTGCAACGACTGACAGGGTTGATTTAGCTGACGTAAAGTCCGAACTGCAGAAGAGACACACGTGCACTGACCTTGGTGGGCTGCACCACTACTCTGGCCTGCAGGTCACCAGGGACAGAGCTGCTCGTACCATCACACTCTCACAGTCACACATGGTGCAGCAGGTCCTTCAGCGGTTCGAGCTTCAGCACTCCACCGTACAGCGCACACCTCTTGCCGTTGACCACAGACTCACTGGTCCCTTTCTTGACGAGCCGTTTGAACCCAGTGGTCCTTTACTCAAAATCAGGGATAGGAAATCTATTACGATACTCTGATTGGATCAGTGTTGAGAACACATAAATTCTGAAATCTTAGTCTCCACAAAGTGGAAAGTCTGAAATCACCCTGAAATCAGGGTGATTACCTTGATAAAAACAGCCCTGGCAGCGTGAGTGAAACCTTCATATTGGCTGCAATGTCTCTTCATGCGACACAGTTTTCGCTTTGAGTTGGTTGGATTCGCAAGTTGGGTGTGCGTGAAACGCTAACTTGATCGCAGAGGAAACTTGATCTCGCCAAGGCCACACAACACAACCGAAAAAGGTGTCGCACACCCTTTTGCCAAACTACTTCAACCTCACATAACTTGAAAAATTACCATGCTGACCTCGTGCTTTGAAATGCTGAAATTTCAGTGTCAACTAGAAGAAGAGGGTAAATAATGAACGTCACCAAAAAATAAAAGACAAGAAGCTCAATGTTTTACCCAAATCAGCGCGCGCGTGTGTGTGTGTGTATGTGTGTGTGTGTGTATGTGTGTGTATGTGTGTGTATGTGTGTGTGTGTGTGTATGTGTGTGTGTTTTTTCTTCTTTTTTTTCTTGACTTAGGGGAACCTGCCAAACCATCTTACACCGATCTTATAACAAACAATAGGAGCTATGCCACCAATCCAGGTAAACAAATACAACAGCTATGCGTCAAGAAGCCATGCACGAACGGCATCATCAAGCCAATAACCATGTCATCTCCACTGGAAATTGAGATTCCGTAGAGCGTAAATGACGATAGAGAAGAAGAAAAGGGAGAAACCGAGCAGAGCTGCAGCCACATAGCCGAGCCAGTCGTGGGAGTAGCTGTAGAATGACTCCACAAACTGTGCTGTTGTCTGCTCTGGCATGCCTGGCTGGCACATCATTGTCGTTACATCTCCTAACTGTAGCGTAACCAGATATGAATCAAGGGATATGCATGGCACATTAAGAGGGGGAAATGAGGGTCAGTTTGAAGGTGGAGTGGGAAGGGTAAAAGAAGGCTTGAGGTGCGTTTTAAAAAGATTCAAAATATGATAACAGGTAGCATATCACTAAAATGGTTAGAGCTGAACGGATTTGATAGAGGCAAAGGTACCGGGAATGAGAAATAATAACTAGAATGGTTCGACTTGCAGATATTCAACATGTAGTTAGAATCGACCAAAGGTCACAAAGCACTGAATTGCAAAAGGCTGAATGATATATGGAGAGTTGTAACTTACCTGCGATGCTGGAGGTTCTGGAGCTGCTGGAGGTCCTGGTGCTGGTGGCGCTGGAGCTGGTGTTTCTGGGGCTACTGAGGGTGCTGGCGCTGGAGGTTCTGGAGCTGTTGGAGGTGCTGGCGCTGAGGGTTCTGAGTCTGCTGTTGCGCAGTCTCCTTGGAGTAGCCGCCTTCGTCCGCGTGTGCCTCTCACCTCACAGCAGCTGCACGACTGGTACGGTCGCCGTCAGGGTCGCGCTTCTGGAGCTAGGGGCTCTCCTCCTGGGGGTACTGGAGCTGCTGGGGCTGGAGGTGCTGAGCCTGCGGGTGCTGCTGCTGGAGACACTGCAGTTGGAGTCCCTGGGACTGGGGGTGCAGGTTCTGGGGGTGCTGCTGCTGGTGGAGCTGGTCCTGGCGGTGCTGGTGCTGAGGTTTCTGGAGCTTCTGGAGGTGCTGGAGCTGCTGGGGGTGCTGGAGCTGCTGGTGCTGGTGGCACTGCACAGCCGCGCCTGTTCTTTGCTCCACCGTCTCCGTCGTCTCAGCCACCGCCTGACTCTGTGCTTCGCCAGGTTCTTAGTCTCCCTTCGTCTACTGGTCTTCCGTTCCTGCCACGTAGCGTGCCAGAAGGCCAAGAGGGTACGCGAGGTCAGGACGAGTGCAGGTCATCAGGTACATGAGGCAGCCCACTAACTCCGGGTAAGGACCACTCGGCTCTACAGACTCGTCCGAAGGTGGAGCTGAGAGCGAGTGACCTGTAGCCAGAGGAGTGGACTGTGGCAAGGACCAGGTGAAGCCGAAGCGCAGAAGGACCTGCTGCACCATGTGTGACTGAGTCAGGGTGATGGTGCGGCGTGCTCTGTCCCGGGTGATATGCAAGCCAAGGTAGCTGCGCAGCTCACCCAGGTCAGTGCAGGTGTGTCTCTTTTGCAGCTCCAACTTCACAAGGGCCAGTGCCTCAGTGCCAGCAGTGGCAAAGACCAAGTCGTCGACGTACACGAGGATGTAGAACGGCGGCAGCGAAGTGTTTGTGCGTAGAAACAACGACGGGCTAGCAGTCGAAGGAGCAAACCCGAGAGCCGCAAGCGTCGTCCTCAGTGTGTCGTGCCACTCACGAGGCGCCTAGCGGAGACCGTAGACTGGCCGGCGAAGGCTCCACTGGGTACCAGGAGGGAACGACCCAGTGAAGCCAGGTGGGCGGCGCAGCCAGATCTCCTCGTGCAGGCTGCCCTGTAAGAACGCTGTGCTGAAGTCAAGAGAGTGAAGCTCGTAGTCACGCTGAGCGGCAACGTGCAGCAGCACCCGAAGAGTGGTCATCTTTGGGGTAGGGGAGAAGGTCTGGAAGAAGTCAACTCCCTGCCGCTGACTGAAGCCTCGAGCAACGTAACGAGCCTTGAAGACAGGCGGAGAATCTGGCGGCCGCTTCACCCTGAAAATCTACATGCCATCGACTATGTTCGCCCCAGGAGGGGGAACCTCATCGACGTAAGTGCCTGTGGACTTCCAGGATGCCATCTCTGCGTCCATGGCTGTCTGCCACTGAGAGGAGTAGGGACCCGAAATCGCCTCTGTGTAAGAGCGCGGGGTCGGGATGTCCAGTGCATTCGGGTCTCCCTCAGGTGCAAGCAGCCAGGCCACGAGATAAGGTATAGCAGCCGCAAGACACTCAAAGTCCTCCTGCTTGTCCTCAAGGACGTCCGTGCCAAGAGCACACTCACCCCCGACGGACGGAGGACAGACAGACTCAGACTCAGCAACAAGACTAGTGGTGTAGTCTAAACTACACGTAGCAGCAAAGTCAACAAGCTCAGCAACTAAGGCAGACGCAACAGTAGACTCAAACGACGGGTCAGTAACGACAGTAGCTAGGAGACGCGTGATAGTGGGACTAGTAGCACGAACCAAGTCAGACTCAGAGTCCAGAACGTCAAGAAGAGAGGACGCAGGAGGAGACGGCAGAGGGACGCGCTGTGGGACAGAGGAAGGACGAAGTGCCATAGTGTGAGTGCCTGGCACAGGAGGAGGACGCGGACGCATGACACGACGAGCACGGCGAGCTGTGCGAACAGGGGAGGCAGGACGAGACGCAGGCTCACGACGCTCGGTAAGGGAGGCTGGCTGCTCAGTGTAAAGAGGCGGGGCAGGCAGCGGTGAGTCCTGAGGATGAGAAGTGGACGAAGGAAGAATAAGAACCTGATGGAGCACCGACTCGGGCGGGAGCTCGGACAGCTGCGGCGGCGGCAAGAAAAACGGTCGCTGCTGCACAGTGCTCCCGGCACCAGTACCTCCAGCTTCAGGGCCTCCAGCGTCAGCAACTCCAGCACCTCCAGCTCCAGCGCCTCCAGCTCCAGCGCCTCCAACGCCTCCAGTGCTAGCGCCTCTAGCTCCAGCGTCTCTAGGTCCAGCGCCTCCAGCTCCAGCGCCTCCAGCGCCAGCGGCTCCAGCTCCAGCGCCTCCAGCTCAGTACCTCCAGCCGCAGCGTCTCCAGCTCCAGCTCCCCCAGCTCCAGCGTCACCAGCTCCAGCGTCTCCAACTCCAGTGCCACCAGCTCCAGTGCCTCCAGCTCCAGCACCTCCAGCTCCAGCACCTCCAGCTCCAGTATTTGCAGCTCCATCACCTCCAGCTCCAGTAGCGCGACTCCTAAGACGCGTGCGCCGAGCAAACAACCCGTGCAGCTGCTAAAGTGAGAGAGGCTCTCGCTGGCCAGACCGCCGCGGCGAGGCACCTTGAGGACCTCCAGCAGACCCAGCACCACCAAGCACAGGACCCCCAGACTCAGCACCAGAACTCAGCACCCGCAGGCTCAGCACCCCTAGGCGCAGCACCCCCAGGCTCCGCACCCCCAGGCTCAGCACCCCCAGGCTCCGCACCCCCAGGCTCAGCACCCCCAGGCTCCGCACCCGCAGGCTCAGCACCCCCAGGCTCCGCACGCTCAGGCTCAGCACCCCTAGACACAGCACCACTCCCAGCAGCGCCAGAGTCACTAGTGACCTCGACAGGCTCAGCCAAGGGAAGTGGGTCTACCTGAGAGACACCTGAAGGAGCAAGATCCTGAGGGGGGGAGGGGGTCTACCGGAGGGGGACCTGGAGCGAGGAAGAGCGGCGGAGGGGGGAGAGGGGCAGTACGGTAGGGTAGAGATGGTAAAAGGGAACCGACTCGTCAAACGTGACGTCCCGAGAGGGGAAGACCTGGCGCGAGGTGGGGTGGTAAAACTACCAGCCAGGCGCGTCAGGGGGAAAGCCAAGGAAGACGTAGGGGACGGCGCGAGAGGAGAGCTTGTCCGCGGTGGTATCGCGGACAAAGGCACGAGAACCCCAGACCCGGAACCGCGACGCATCGCCAACCTCCCCCGTCCAACGCAGTGTGGGTGAGGTCTCCGGCAAGGAGACACGGAGCCAGAGGTTGAGCTGATGCGCGACGTACCGGACCGCAAACGGCCACAGAAAATGGGGAGCAGCTGCATGGATCATGGAGGTACGAGCGACCTCCATGACTAAGCCAATGCGACGCTCAGCAATCCCATTCTGCTGCGGGGAGGCCGGAAGCGTGAACGACTGGAGGATGCCCTCCCCCTGACAAAAGTTCCTCAAGAGGTCGGAGGAGAACTCACCACCTCTGTCAGAGTGCAGACGCAGGATAGGAAGGTCTGTGCGGAACCGCTCGCGCAGTTGGAAACGAACAGCTCGGATCCAAGGGATCAAGACATCAGGGACCTTCCACTTGCTGCGCAAGGGGAAGACCGTGGTGTAACGCGAGTAGTCGTCAACAACCAGCAGAAAGTACTGCTCGCGGCCCTGTCCACGAACGCGGGCTGGGCGCCACACGTCTATGTGGAGATTTTGCAAGGGAGCAGTCATCGAAGGAAACGAGAGGAGTGAGGAGCGGCGCGCTGCCGCCCCTTGACGCAAGGAATGCAGGGCGGGGCAGGCGAGGGAGGGAGGGGAGGCAGAGACCTGGGAAGGCCAGAGACAAGGAGGCGGGAGTGCATGCCACGGAGGCGTGGCAGGGAGGGGTGACCAAGGCGGTGGTGCCAAAGGAGAGTCTGGTGCGACAGGAGGCGACACTCGCAGGGGGCTGCTACCTGACCTGACGCGGACACCTGAGCAGATGCAACGACCTAAGGCGGCATAGTAGTTAGTGTACAGGCTCGACCCAGGCCGACGGGTGAACGTGGCCAGGTGGCAGCTAGTCCGTGAGTACGTACAGATGGCCACACGCTGCCGTCCAGGGGTGAAGGTATCAACCCCCGCATCCTGCAGGACAGCGGTGCTCACCAAGTTCGTCGAGAATGAGGGGAGGTGGAGACCTGGCAGTGAGCTGGACGAAACCGCCGGACACGGGAGCACAGTGGAGGAACGTGCAAGAACCGGGCCCCCAGAGGGGTCAGCCAGGGAAACTGCAACGGGTCTAGTGAGTGGTGTGACGGTGGTACTGTCGCGAAAGAAACAGCGAGAAGCACCTGAGTCAAGCATGAAGGTGTGCAAGGCCTCAGCAGACGCAGTACCAGAGAGGGCAGACTCATTCGCTCCCAGAGCAGCAGCCTCTATACCTGGGTCAGGCGGCACACACAAGTAACAGTCACCCTCAGCACTAATAGTCAAAGCATACAAGCCAGCAAGGATAGCATCATCTTCAAGAGCAAAGATATCAACACCAGACCTAAGCAGCTCTGCCCAGCGGGGCATCTCAGCCTCATCGCCAAATTCAGTTCGCCAAGCGTCGTCAAGGCGGGAGAAGCAGCGGTGCTGGGTGTGAAACTTCCTGCACGCCTGACCAGCGCGGTCACCTGTGCGAATGACGTACGGGCAGCGAGCACTACCCCCAGACGCCCCACGCTGAGCAAACCACTCACGAAGCTGCTGGGGCGTGAGGGTCTCACGTGGGCGCTGCTGCTGCTGCCGCTGAAATGCTCCGGTCAGACCACCACTACCGCCGCCACCACCACTCCCTCCGCCGCCACCACCGCCGCCACCACTCCCACTGCCGCCAAGACCACCACCACCGCCACCCCCACCGCTGCCGCCACCGCCGCCACCGACTCCCCCACTCTTGCCACCACTCCCACCGCCACCGCCTCCACCTCCACCGCCTCCACCGCCTCCACCACCACCCCCCCCGCCGCCACCCCCACCGCTCTTGCATCCCTTGCCCTTGCCGCAACGGCGCTTCCCACTAGGAGAAGAAGCATTACCGACCTCCTCAGCACCAAGGAAGTCGACAGCAGCAGCAGAAACAATAGAGGGGGCAAGGGGGGAGGGGGAGCACCCCTCAAAGAAGGTCGTGCAAGGAGTGCCACGAGTAGCACCTACAGCGACTGCACTAGTCTCAGCTGCAAGGAGGTGCTCCTCGAGCAGGTCGATAGTGAGCTTGGTGGGGTTAAGGGCGAGAAAGTGGTCCCTGACTGCGCGAAAAGATTCAGGGAGGCGGGTGGCTATAAAGTAGAGAGTGATGTAAATCGGGGGCTCGTTCTTGGGGACGAACTCGGCTGGGAGGGCAGCGCGGTAGCGAGCGTCGCTAGTGCAAAGGTGGGTAATGAGGTCCGCTACTGTGGCAAAGGAGGACAGCTCGGGAAACAGGTAGGGCAGTATAAGGCGGCCGAGAGCTGCAGTGGCAGGGGAAGAGTAGTGGGCGACTACAGCGTCATACAGGGCTTTGGCAGTTTTAGGCTGGTCAAAGTGAGCGCGTTCGGCTATCGGCAGGTGGTTGCGAACGGCTAGGCGAGCAGCAGCGTCACGAGTAAGCCACTGTGAGCGAGTCGTACTGTCAGGTGTGTCGGGAGGGGCAGGACAGGCTCCAGACGTGAGGTCAAATAGTGGGACATTGTCTTTCGAATCGCTTAGCACGTACAGCTGTAGGTCCTGAAGCCAAGTCTCAAACTTAATAGGACGGCCCTCAGGATCGAACTCAAGAACACTGAGAGTGGCCATAACGTAGCAGTGCAGCGTGGCGTGTAGGGCAGGGCAGGGCAGTGCGCGGGCAGAAATGTGAGCGCAGGGCAGTGCGCGGGCAGAAATGTGAGCGCACGGGCTGCAAGAGGCGGCGCACGGGCAGGCAAGGGCGGCACGCGGGCTGCAAAGGGACAGTGCGCAGGCAAGTAGGAGCGGGGCGCTGCAAGCGAGGCGGCGCGCGGGTCTGCACAGGGCAGCGCGTGGGCAGGCAGAGGCGGCGCGCGGCTGGGAGGACAACGCGCGGGCAGAAAAATAGGCCGCGAAATGTCTGTAGGGCTGCGCGCGGGCAGAGCAAGGCGTGCGCGGGGCGGCGCGACGCGGGGGACGGCAGGGGCAGGCGACGCGACGGCGGGCAGGGCGTAGGCAGGCTGCGCGACGGGCAGGGCAGCGCGTGCGCGGGGCGGCGCGACTCAGGGCTGGGCACGCGCGGGCAGCGCGATGCGGGGCAGAGGCGTGCGCGGGTGGGGCGCAACGCAGGCAGGGCGTGTGCAGGCAGCGCGACGTAGGCAGGGCAGAGCGAGCGCGGGCAGCACTACGCGGGGCAGGGCAGGGCAGCACAACCCTAGAATGTGTTGTACCCCATGTAAGCTACCCCACTACAGCCTACAATCAACATTTTAGTTTAACACCCTACCGTCCCGCAGTGCCCAGAGCCTCAAGCACTGCCTGTCACGCTCTACTCAGCCCCTTTAGGCGTTTAGGGTTTCGGTAGCAGCAGTACCCACCTCTTTGCTTCCGCTATGGCGACCCCTAGGGTCCTGCGCTTTGACGCCGAGGGTAGGCCGCTCGAGTTCTCGGTCTGGCTCCTGCGTGCGCGCCGCCTCCTAGAGAGTCAGGTTCAAGCAGACGAGTTTCTGTGGTCGCACGCTTCCGGTGACCTTTCTGCGCCCGCCGACCTTGCACCCTTAGGCCCTGACGCCAGCACTGCAGACAGAGACCCTTATGCACGCCAGCATGCTGACCTGACAGTGTGGAAGTCGCGTGATGCTACGGCCTGCATTGCCCTTAACAACCTCCTCCCTGAGTCTGAAGAGACCCACTTCACTCAGGTTTGCACGGCTAGTGAGTTCCTGAGTGCGATCAAGGCCCGCTATGCTACTCCCACCACTGTCTCTCTTGGTTGCCTGCTCCTCCCATTCTTGTTTCCTGACCTTGCCTCGTTTGAGCGCTCTGCAGACTTGATCGCTCACCTGCGCTCACTAGATTCCATCTACCGCGCTGCCTGCACTGACGCACGTCTTGCACTGCTCCCTCCCCCTATGACGATTACTATTTATTTCATTGCCATTGGCCTCCCTAACCGCCTTGCCGCAGTTCGTGACGCGCTTCTTCTGAATCACCATAGCAACCTCCGCTCGGTAGCCTCCGCCTCTGGCGCTGTGCCCCCTCCACTGTTTCACGGGTGCACTGTCCCTCAGCTGCCCACCTTTACTGCCTCCCTCGCCACTGCCGCTACTGACGTGACCGCAGCTGCTGTTATGACTTATGCGCGGTTTAGGGGTAGGAGTGGTAAGAGGAGCGGCCAGGGTGCGGGTGGCGGCGGAGGCGGCGGAGGTGGCGTGGCGAGCGGCGGTGGCGGGAGTGCAGGAGTTGGAGGAGCGCCTCGTGCAGCGTCTAGTGACTCCCCTGCTGCAGCTGGTGGAGGTGACACTCGGGTTAGTCGGGCACCTGCGGGACTGCCAGCTACAGGTGCTGGAGTGGCGGCTTGGTACCTGACTCAGCGATAGCAGCAGCAGTATCCAATCCTCTCGCAACAGACACAGCATCAGCAGAGGCAGCAGCAGGCTCCGGGGCAGGGGTCAGGACAGCGCGCGCGGTGCCGTCCACCCTCCCTGCACCTATCTCGTCCAGACAGGTACTCGCAGAGGCCTCCACTGTGGCCGCCCCCGCGCCCTGGGTCAGTGCTTTTCTCAGCTCACTAACACTCTTTGCGCGGCCTACGGCGTCGATGGCACTGCCCGTTACTGACTTCCTTTTCTTCACACGTACGGTACGGCCCTGTGGGGCATGTCTGCTTCTCAGTTGCTTGATCTCTTAGGAACTCCTCGTTCTATGTATGCTGTTGTTGACTCTAGTGCTTCTGACTCTGTTTACTCGCGTGTTTTTAGCTTAGGTGCTAGTGTTGACTCTGTGCCAGTTGCTAGTTTAGGTACTTGCTTAGGCACTAGTCCATTTAGTGCTCCGGAAGACACTTCGCTGTCTTTCACCCTTGACTCTGGAGCTTCGCACTGTTCTTCCACGACCACTTGACTCTTGCTCCGCTTCCTACGCCAGCCTCTGTAGCGCTGGCTGATCCCACTTCAAGACCAGTCACTGCTCGCTACACTACTACGCTTCCGTGCCCAGCTGTTCCCTCGGGTTTCCTGACAGGCTTCCATGTCCCCTCGTTCTTTAGGAACTTGGTGGGTGTGAGGCCACTCGTGGGTAGTCACGTGGGTGTTTGGTTTGAGCCTTCTGAGGAGACTGCGACCTGTGTAGACGATGACACGTACGCGCCTCTGGCCACCTTTACCGCTGATCTGGGCTCTGGTCTCTACACATTTCACACTGGCCCCCGAGGGAGCAGCAGCAGCAGCAGCAGCAGCTGCCTCCGACCCCTGTCACTGCCCTCCGTCAAGTCTCCGCGTCTCACCAGGTTACTGGTGTCATTTCACTGCCCTCCGACGGACGTCCCTCGTCCCCCTGTCCCTGTCATTGACTTTCGTACTGTCCTGTTCCGTTCTAGTCCGCCTCGTTCGTCTCCGTCTGTGCTTCCTTCTCCTCCTGAGTCGGCCCTCACTACTGCCCTCTCTACTCCTATCACTCACTACTACCGCACGTATTGTCCTGTTCTCTCTCGTGTTCTCGCCTCTCTTGTTACCGACCCTCGTGCCTCTCTGTCCTCTGTCTCCGCCCTTACTGCCGCAGTCACTGAGTTCGCCACTACTCGCCGCCTTGACTACGCCACTAGTCTTGTGGCTGCTCCTCCTACCAGTCCTCTAGCCGTCGAGGGCAAGTCTGCCCTTGGCTGTGACGCCCTAGAGGACAGGCAGTTTGAGCTAGAGTTCCTGGCAGCCGCTTCCCCTCATCTCTGTGCCATGCTCCTCACCCCTGAGGGTGACCCCGACGCCCTTGACATTCCGACTCCTCGCACTTACGCTGAGGCAGTGTCAGGGCCATGGGCCTCTCAGTGGAAAACTGCCATGGATGCAGAGATGGCCTCCTACAGATCCACAGGCACCTTCGTCGATGAGGTTCCCCTCCCCCCCCCCCCCGGGGCGAACGTAGTCGATGGCATGTGGATCTTCAGGGTGAAGCCGCCATCGGGATCTCCAGTCTTCAAGGCGCGCTATGTGGCTAGATGTTTCAGTCAGCATGAGGGAGTTGACTTCTTTCAGACCTTCGCGCCTACCCCGAAGATGACTACTCTTCGGGTGTTACTTCACGTAGCAGCACAGAGAGACTACGAGCTACACGTAGCAGCACAGAGAGACTACGAGTTACACTCTCTCGACTTCTCCACTGCCTTCCTTCAGGGTAGCCTACACGAGGAGGTCTGGTTGCGTCATCCCTCTGCCTTCACTGGCACTTTCCCTCCTGGGACCTAGTGGAGGCTGAGGCGACCGGTCTACGGTCTCCGTCAGGCGACTCGTGAGCAGCACGATACCCTTCGCTCTACCCTGTCTGACCTCGTTTTCTAGCTGTCTTCTGCCAACTCGTCCCTATTCGTTCGTTGTGGCTCCACACCGTTCCTTGTACTGGTCTATGTCGACGACCTGGTCTTTGCAACGGCTGACAGGGTTGATTTAGCTGACGTAAAGTCCGAACTGCAGAAGAGACACACGTGCACTGACCTTGGTGGGCTGCACCACTACTCTGGCCTGCAGGTCACCAGGGACAGAGCTGCTCGTACCATCACACTCTCACAGTCACACATGGTGCAGCAGGTCCTTCAGCGGTTCGAGCTTCAGCACTCCACCGTACAGCGCACACCTCTTGCCGTTGACCACAGACTCACTGGTCCCTTTCTTGACGAGCCGTTTGAACCCAGTGGTCCTTTACTCAAAATCAGGGATAGGAAATCTATTACGATACTCTGATTGGATCAGTGTTGAGAACACATAAATTCTGAAATCTTAGTCTCCACAAAGTGGAAAGTCTGAAATCACCCTGAAATCAAGGTGATTACCTTGATAAAAACAGCCCTGGCAGCGTGAGTGAAACCTTCATATTGGCTGCAATGTCTCTTCATGCGACACAGTTTTCGCTTTGAGTTGGTTGGATTTGCAAGTTGGGTGTGCGTGAAACGTTAACTTGATCGCAGAGGAAACTTGATCTCGCCAAGGCCACACAACACAACCGAAAAAGGTTTCGCACACCCTTTTGCCAAACTACTTCAACCTCACATAACTTGAAAAATTACCATGCTGACCTCGTGCTTTGAAATGCTGAAATTTCAGTGTCAACTAGAAGAAGAGGGTAAATAATGAACGTCACCAAAAAATAAAAGACAGGAAGCTCAATGTTTTACCCAAATCAGCGTGCGTGTGTGTGTGTGTATGTGTGTGTGTGTGTGTGTGTGTGTGTGTGTGTGTGTGTTTTTTCTTCTTTTTTTTCTTGACTTAGGGGAACCTGCCAAACCATCTTACACCGATCTTATAACAAACAATAGGAGCTATGCCACCAATCCAGGTAAACAAATACAACAGCTATGCGTCAAGAAGCCATGCACGAACGGCATCATCAAGCCAATAACCATGTCATCTCCACTGGAAATTGAGATTCCGTAGAGCGTAAATGAAGATAGAGAAGAAGAAAAGGGAGAAACCGAGCAGAGCTGCAGCCACATAGCCGAGCCAGACGTGGGAGTAGCTGTAGAATGACTCCACAACTGTGCTGTTGTCTGCTCTGGCATGCCTGGCTGGCACATCATTGTCGTTACATCTCCTAACTGTAGCGTAACCAGATATGAATCAAGGGATATGCATGGCACATTAAGAGGGGGAAATGAGGGTCAGTTTGAAGGTGGAGTGGGAAGGGTAAAAGAAGGCTTGAGGTGCGTTTTACAAAGATTCAGAATATGATAACAGGTAGCATATCACTAAAGTGGTTAGAGCTGAACGGATTTGATAAAAAGGTACCGGGAATGAGAAATAATAACTAGAATGGTTCGACTTGCAGATATTCAACATGTAGTCAGAATCGACCAAAGGTCACGAAGCACTGAATTGCAAAAGGCTGAATGATATATGGAGAGTTGTAACTTACCTGCGATGCTGTAAGGCCATAAAGGGACCAAGAAACAGGATTGATCCAGTAGAACCAGCGACAGTAGATAAGGGATGTACTGTGCAAGTGAACGGATGAATTCGCGAACATGAGTTGGGGGAACGTGAGGAAGAGAGAGCAGCGGGATTGATACATTAGAAGAGGGAAATAAACAATGGTATACAATGGGAAAAGGCAGATCCAAGCGAACACGTGCCGTGAGTTTCATGGGTCGGGTCACGAAGGACAAAACTATGCCCCGGTGGCAAGGCAGACCGCAAGCATTGTGTGATGGTGTTGACTCTCATGGTTTGATAGTTGTTGCTTGTAGCATACTTGTTGCCCTTTTTGTTTGTTTCCATGCCTCAAAAATACAGTTTTCAGATGCCCTGACTCACAGGCTAGGGGAGAAGGAAGCCGCAGAGAAGGTTCCAGAGCGAGTAGACAAAGGCGGACAGCAACATGTCGAGCCCTTCCACTGGCGTGACCGCCACCGCCATCATGCAAAAACACGTGAAGTAGAGCAGCATAAGGAACTGGAACAGCAGGTACCAGAAGAACTTCCCCGTCGTCCACTTTAACTGAATCATTGCATAAGTTATTAAGGAGTACAGCACGGACTGAACCATAATGTAAGGAAGCTCGATGATTCCTTGCGCGAGCGCGTACGGCACTGGGCCGTACATCCCAGCTCCGCACTCCCGATAGTAAATGACTTGCTCAACGGCTAGCACGGGTTGGATAGAGGCCAGATTGCTCCACCCGAGGAAAAGCGCGGTGGTGTAAAGCGCACCCATCACGTTCACCACCTGCTGCTGCGACGCCTGGTTTCGCCCAAACCCGAAGAACACGGCTCCGATGAGGAGAGCGAGGACGATAGTGAAGAAAAATTGGGCGCCGTTGTAGGCTAGCATGCGCCAGTACATGCGGGCGCGTTTCCAGAGGTGTGTGAGGAGCTGGGAGAGCGGTGCTGAGGGGTGCTGCGTGGGGAAGAAGAGGTCCGGCTCGCCCTCTGGGGGCATGCTGGCTTGCTGAATCAGGGCCTGTGTTGACCTGTGGGGGGGAGGGAGGGAGGGAGCAGTTGAGCGGGGAGGGGTGGGGAATGATGTGGGCATGAAGGGTTGGAGAGATGGCAGCAGGCTCGAAAGCAGCCAGGAGAGGCAAATGCTTCCATCTTTGAGGCGTTAAAAGAATCTTGCAGTTGACTTGACCGCTTCGACCAAGTCAGATTGACCGAGTCGGCTTGACTGAGTTGACCTGACCAAGTTGACTTTACCGAGTTGACTTGACAGAATCTACTCGTCCAAGTCATTGGTGCTGCAATATTCCACCACAGCCCCGCGTTTGTTTGGCTGCCTAACACCATTTCTGGCCTTTGTTGAATTCACCTGAGCCAGGCCTCTGTTGTTCTCACCTGAACTGCACTGACTGGCAAAAAAACGCTGCAAAATCCACCTGAAGCGTCTCCGCAACAGCTGGCGCTATCACTTCCAGCATCCATGCTGCGGGATTGGTTCGGGGGGCAATAGGCGGGACCCTTGGGATGGACTGGTGGGAAGAGAAGCAGAGATAGGGGGAAAGGGGGGCGGTGGGGGATGTTGAATTGCCCAGAAGGGGGGCAGTGGTGGGTGTTGAATTGCCCAGAAGGGGGGCAGTGGGGGGTGCGGGGTGCCCCTAGGGGGCAGGATTTCTGGGATGGACTGGTGAGAAAAGAAGATGGGGAAGGGGGAGGGCGGTGGGGGGTGTTGAACAGTTGCTTTCCTGTCCTTTGATGCACCTGGCTGTTAGGCCCCGGGGAAGAAGGGCAAGCAACGGGCACGCCTCCTGGTTACCGCAAGCACCCGTGCTAACAGTCAAGTCATGAAACGTGAATTCATGAAACGTGAAGTCATGAAACGTGAAGTCATGAAAGATGAAGTCATGAAACGTGAAGTCATGAAATGTAAAGTCATGAAACGTGAAGTTATGAAACGTAAATTCACTGCACCTATATGGGGCCCACTTGAATTTACCTGGCTGTGGGGCCTTGATCACTGTTCCAATCTTTGATTGATCCCAAGATTTCGTTCCGGATCCCTAATTCCTATTTCCAGAAACTTGATTCCCATTGGCACTTAGCTGCTCTTCCCCACAAGAGAGGAAAGCCCGTGGCACCTGCCTCGTTCCTTATCCCTGATTCCTGATTCCAAACGCTTGATTCCCATTGGCGTACCTGGAGGTAGCGAATCAAATCCTGGGACTGCTGCCCGAGCGGGCCAGTGTAGATGACTTCGCCGCCCGGCTGCATCAACAGGTGCTGGAAAGGAAAGGCGGGTAAACGATGGAGGGGGGGAGGGGGGGGGGGGGGGGGGGGGGGGGGGGGCGGATTTGGAAGCATGTAATTTTGATTTACTGTCATGAACAGAATCTGTAAAGCTCGACCGATGTTGACTGTTGCTGAATGTGGTGCTTGAGTATGGCATTAAGTGTGCAGAGCTACACTACACCGAATAATACATCTCATATATATCAAATACATAATATATATAATATATATATGTACTGTACCTCGTCAAACGCCTCAAAGATGTCGATGGATGGCTGGTGGATTGTGCACACGACAGTGCGGCCCGTGTTGACTGTGTTGCGCACGGCTCGCATCACTATGGCTGATGCTCTTGCGTCCAATCTTGACTCACATTGACTAGTCTTGACCCGCATTGACTGGTCTTGACCCGCGTTGACTAGTCTTGATCCGCATTGACCCACGTTGATTCGGTTGACGTCAACGGATGCCCTTGCGTCCAGGCATGGGCATGGAGTGCGATGGAGTGGAGTGCAGTGGAGTGTAGTGGAGTGGAGTGAGGAGGAGAGACAGGTGAAGTGAGAAAGACATTAGAGGGAGGAACCACATAACTGTGGCCACGCATTCCCTTGCACATTTGCGCCCTGGGACAAGGTAGATGTTACCTTAGGCAGGTGATAGATACCCAAGGCAAGTGTTACTTGGAACAGATACTTGTTGCCCCTCAGGAGGAAGGTGTTACCAGAGATGGGAGGTGGTACCCGAGGGGCAAGTAGTACCTGAGGTGGGTTCGTCCATGAAAATGACTGGAGGGTTAGCGACCAGCTCTACGGCCATAGTGAGGCGCTTCCTCTGCTCTGCTGATAACCCATCCACACCTGCTGTCCCCACCAGTGCCTCCCCCACTGCCTCCAGCTCTACTAGCTCCATCACCTCCTCTGTGAACTCCTGGTGGTGTCGTGTGTGGGGGGGAAGAGAGGGGACTTTCGAGTAGACTCAGAAGTCACCTCCTCTGTGAGCTCCTGGTGGTGTCGTGTGTGGGGGGGAAGAGAGGGGACTTTCGAGTCGACTCAGAAGTCACCTCCTCTGTGAGCTCCTGGTGGTGTCGTGTGTGGGGGGGAAGAGAGGGGACTTTCGAGTCGACTCAGAAGTCACCTCCTCTGTGAACTCCTGGTGGTGTCGTGTGTGGGGGGAAGAGAGGGGACTTTCGAGTCGACTCAGAAGTCACCTCCTCTGTGAACTCCTGGTGGTTTCGTGTGTGGGGGGGAAGAGAGGGGGAAGGGGGGGAATGGGAGGGGGGACGGGGGAGGATAGGAGCAGGAAGGGTTTCAAAACCCACCACCAATGCCCTCTTTCCCCCACCGCCTCGGGCTCTACTAGCTCATCCACCTCCTATGTGAACGCTTGTATAGGGGAGTGGGAGAGGGGAGAGTATGTTTTTTTAGCATTCTCAAAAAACATCCTCTGTGAACGCTTGTGTAGGGGAGCTGCAGCCGCTGGCCGGGCGGCGCGTCTTTTGATTTTAGCGCAGCCGGCATGTCGATAGAGTAGCAGACATTGTGGAAGTAGAGGGTGAGAGGGTCGAACGGGAGGACCATGCCTTGCTCGCGGATATCTCCTCCCTGGGCGACACTGGAAGCACCCGGGAACGCTGCACTGCTAGAGGAAGGGAGAGCCATTCTCGCATCCACACTGCTAGAGGGAGGGAAAGCAGCTCGATAGCTGAGCCTTCGCGACAGCAGCTCCCCTCGGCGCCCCAGCTGCTCTCTCCTGGATATCGATCCAGTCCCACCGCTCCCAACCGTTGCTGAGGCAGACAGGGAGGGGCCAAAGGGGAAAGCCAAGCGACCAATGCTTTCCCCATTTCCCACAGCACCACCATCAGGTCCAGGATCACTAAGAAGAGAACTGATTCTCTTGGAGGAGCGAAAGCGGCCGCTGGTGCTGAACTGACTCATTGCAATGGAGTCGGAGCGAGCGAGGTTGAGGGAGCAAAGAGAGGAGGCTGCATAGACGGTCAAGTAGTCGAGGTTAGAGCCAGATAGGGAGGCCTTTCGGGCGTCTAGCTGAAGCTGGGAGATGACTGGTTGGGCCCTGGGCCATGATGGGGTGAGGGGTGGGAAGGGGGGGAGAGAGAGATAACCGGAACAAGAAAGGTTGGACATAGAGAATAAGCTAGCACTAAACCTTAACTGATGCAAAACTCCCAACACCCTCAGTACAGAAGAAGCAAGTGGTCCAAACACGGACCCTTTGAGCAGTGAAAAAAGGGTCCGTGTTTGAAACACTTGCTTCTTCTGATAAAAGAACAAAAAGCAGCATCCGGAACAGTCAAAGCAGTCAAAGCATTCGAAGCAGTCGAAGCAGTCAAAGCAACCGATGCAGCCGAAGCAGCCAAAGCAGTCAAAGCAGTCAAAGCAGTCAAAGCAGTCAAAGCAGCCAAAGCAGCCAAAGCAGTCAAAGCAGTCAAAGCAGTCAAAGCAGTCAAAGCAGCCAAAGCAGTCAAAGCATTCAAAGCAGCCAAAGCAGTCAAAGCAGTCAAAGCAGTCAAAGCAGCCAAAGCAGTCAAAGCAGCCAAAGCAGCCAAAGCAGTCAAAGCAGTCAAAGCAGTCAAAGCTGTCAAAGCAGTCAAAGCAGCACTCACGGTTGAAGTACTTGAGTGCAAGGATAGAGAGCCCGTTGCAGAGAAAGGCAGCAAACATGCCGATGAGTGCCCCTGCCCACACCCAGTATCTGTCAGTCCAGAGGTTGCGACCCATGAGCACCTGAAGACCCACCGTTGTGTTTGAGTACAGGGGGGCTGCAGGCTGGGGGTAGAGGGTAGGGGGAGATGGGGGTAAGGTTGAGATGAGGGTGTAAGTGGAAGATGGGGGGATACGGGGAAGATGGGGGGATACGGGGAAGATGGGGGGATATGGGGAAGATGGGGGGATACGGGGGAGATGGGGGGATACGGGGGAGATGGGGGGATACGGGGAAGATGGGGGGATACGGGGGAGATGGGGGGATACGGGGGAGATGGGGGGATACGGGGGAGATGGGGGGGATGAATGGGGGAAGGGGAGATAAAGGGGGAGGTGCATGCAGATTCAGCACCCATCAACACAGCACCACACCACACCACACTGCACCGCACCGCACCCACAACACATCACACCACACGCCGCACTGCACCGCACAGCACCGCACGCACCACATCCCATCGAGGCGCAAGGAACTCGTTGGCAGAGAATGCATTCTGGCAATAGTTGAGATGCACAATCTAATCGTCACCCGATCCGTGAACCAACTTAAAAAAACCCAACAAGGTGGCAATCCTACCAGTTATAAATCGCCCCAGAGTTTGAATCACCACCCACGTTTTTATTCACTTGTAACCACCATTTTTGGAAGCGGTTTTTGCGAATTCAAAAAAAAAAAAAAAAAAAAAAAAAAAAAAAAAAAAAAAAAAAACAACCTGCTGCCACAGAGCAACATTCTGCTGACACAGGAAAACGGAAAGAGTACCACGAGTGACGGCAATAACGAAACCCGAGAGGAGATACAGATGGCGTGGAGGAGGTACTGAGCAAGGGAGGGGAGAGTACCTTTGGCAATGATAAAACCCGAGAGCAGGAAGAAGATGACAAGGAAGAAGTTCCC